GATTAGAGGAAGGTAGGTGAAGCGTAATTACATAGGCGTGCTAAGGAAAGTGAAAGAGCGGAGAGGGAAAGGAAACAACCAGATTAGGAAACAGAAAGGAATCAATTCTTTAGGGACAGAGAGATGGAGCGGTATAAATGGGACAGACAAAGAGAATTAGGTGAAAAGGGTTTTGAAGAGTTGGAGGAATAGTATAGGATGAGACAAAAGAATAAGAGATGGAAAAGGATTAGGAATGCTAAGTAAAGTAGATGGTAAGGTAAAAGTAGAGGGTAAACTGGAGTTTTTAGAGAAGGGATGGGGGAAAGTAGGTAGAGGAGGGTAGCAAGATTTAAGAAAGTTGGAAAATGAAGAATAGATATAGGAAAATAGATACTGGGTAGAGGAAAATAAAAGAATGTATAAGCTATGCGGAGGAGGAGGGACCTGGGATGGAGACCTGGAAAAATTTGTGGGAGAAATGCAGGAGTTGGACAGAGGGGCGAGGGAGGGAGTTTGCAGAAGGAATATCGTAGAGTGCTGGCGGATGACGGGGAAAAAGAGGGATGAATGAGGAAGGTGGAAGAGGAGAGAAGAACGAGTCTGTGATGAAGAATCAGGGAAGAAGAGTGAGAGGGGAAGAGAGTGAGAGGAAGAGGGGGAGAGAGGGGGAGGGAGAAGGGAGAGAGGAATAGAATAAGAGAATTTTTTTGTATTATATCTCATACAGCACAAAAGATTCCAGCTATGTTGCAGCAACGTTGTAAGGTTGCAAATTCCAATGCAACATTGCAGAAACATTGTAGAAACATAAATTAATAAAATACCTGTAAGATATTAGCAATGTGACGTTAATATTTCGGAAACATTGCCAAACTATAATTCTTAATTTTAATAAATAATAATTTTTTCCTATTTTTGTGTAATGTAAAACCGTTTTTAAGAATAATTAACGTAATTCTTACACGCGTACTCAAGATCGTGTTTATTTGTTATATAAGTATAAAAGAAAAAACATTAAAGAGAATGATATACTTTTAATTATATATAACTGATATAAGTATATATATTGTTATAACAATTAAGACAATTGTTATATGTCCGTACAAAACACTGAAAATAGATATTCTACACGAAGTGAGTAAACTTCCAATTTGCAAATTGTAAATTATAATTTCTGTTATTAAATGTGCAAATTAAAAATTATAAAACAAGTCCAA